TAGTCCGCTTGGCGTTTTTTTTTTGTTTGTTTGTTCTTTTTTTTAAATCCGTTGCGTATCTAAGGGGTTTTGGGCGATTAGTATGCAGAAAGGAAGCTGTTTTGCATAATTAAGAGCTACAGAGAAGAAGCAACAAAGTTTGTTAGTTTCACATCTAGGAGTTTAATGGTGAACAAAGAGTTATTCTTTCAGATAAAAGTTAAAAGATCATCATTCAGCACATCCCGTCTTCTTAGACATACCTTTATTCTTTAAAAAGGAGGCAGAGACAGATACCATTAAAGTGGTTAATAATCACAGAAGTGGCAACAGTTAGTAACCTACACTCTGCACCAAAGAGAAGATTAATCTTCAACTACACTGTTAACTGTCACACTTATTGTCGTATATAAAAAAAAAAGGCACAAAAGGCAAGCGATGGTGATCTCAAAGGCTCAGAAAAGAGACCTCCAGTTTATCAGGATGCGATAGGTGACCTAAAACCACTTCTCTCCATAATAAGGCATTATTCCTCTGATCTGAAAATGTCCTTTAATCACTTTTTTTTCTTCTGCCGTACAAAATAGAATATAAAAATACAATAAAAAGTTGTTACAGAAGTCATGGCTGCATGTTTTTCTTTCATATGAAGGCATCGCTGGGTTTGCAGGAGAGAAAGTTAAAATGTGCTTCTCGAATAAAAACATGCAAAACAAGAGGAAACAACAAACGGCACGAAAACAAAGATAAAATATAACACTGCTCTAGTTTTAAAGATGCTTTTTAGTTGCTGCATCGATCCTCTGACTCATACTGACAGAAAAGGACAAAAGTAACGGCACCCCTGCAAAAAAATATATGTAAAAAAAAAAGGCTTAAAATTCATTTTTTATTGCAGCAGCAGTTTTAGTCAGTTGGAAAAATCTGATATTGAGGGAAAACTGAAGATATTGAAGTGAATAACTCCTTCAAAAGACACTTTTTATTTCCTTGTACAAAAACCTAAATTTCCAAAACTGTATTTTTATGTCTCTAGAATAAAAATCTGACATGAAACACTTTTATTTTAAAATGGAAGAGAAAACCCATTTAAATGAATCATGAGTAGTCTAAATGGGAAAGTAAATCAGGTCCACTATTAGGTACGGTGGAGGAGTAGTGATGCTCTGGTCTGTCTTCTGAAATATTAGAAGTTGAGCTACACAGAGTGCAAAACATTATAACCATATCAGCTCATTATTGGAAGAAGTTTTACAGACTTATTTTTCCTCTCCTGAATTAAACTCAAATCAAATGACTGAATATTTAAACTAGTTTCAATTTCTTTATAATACTGCAATAAAAAAATGAATATATTTAGATGTTTGCTTCTGTATTTTGGATTCAGTAAGCTACACATTTCTTACATGCCTTATTTATCAAAATGAACCCCAGAAGATCCGGTTTGTGGCTGCGAATTACGGAAGGCCAAAAGTGACAAAAAACAAAATCATTAAATAAGTTCTTAAAAGACTGTGATCATTTCAGTTATAATGCAAAAGTTCCTGTATTAACTGAATATTTAGAAAACTTTCCTTTTTTGCAAACATTTTTATAATTTAACACAGAACTGAATATTTCAAAGTGACAATTTTGATAAGATTTAAACACTTTAATAGTAATAAAAGTGTTTTATATCTATTCTACTACATTTCATCACTAATTGTAACTCATTAAGAAGCCGCTATCATCTGGACCAATCAACTTGTCTTTAGCAGTATTAGCCCCGCCCACTGATTTTTTTTGTTGTTGGTAAATGTGCCTGATAATTGTAGTAATGGTTAAATGTCCTCATGTCCATGACATTATGAATTTATCAGACATGATTTTTATACATAATTTAATTCCAAGTCATAAAAAAATATATTAACACCTTGAACTAATTGATTAGATCTTACTGAAATGATCACATATTATTTTTATGAATTGCTTTATGACATTTTTGGTCTTCTGTACTGAATCCAGACGTTTGAACTGTGAAAATAAAAAAGCCTTTGTCTGTAACATTGTTCCTTCTCTCTCTAAAGGCACGGTTGTTCAAGCTCAAACAATACTGTAGTGTGAAAGAGGCGAAGGCATCGTCGTGAAAAGGAGTCACGTTGGAAACTTTTCCTTTCTTGTTTCTGGGCCGTTAGGCTTCCAGTTTAACCATTGTTTTCATTCACCTGTCGCTTTATGCTGGGAAAGTTCTTTGCTTGCATTTTTCTTTCCCCAATGATAGCTTTTACCACGTTAAGCTGTGATTGTTGTTTTTTCTTCATATATGCATCATTTAACACCATTGATAAATGTCACATTGAAGGTGAAATGCTCTAAAAGAAGCACTCACCCAAGGGAAAAATGTAATAAAATCTTAGCATATGTCCCACAGTTTAGTGTTTATGGAGGGTTTTTTTTGTGTGCTGATAAGTAACACCAGTATCAGTATATTAACAATGTTATTAATAGTCATTATTGCATGGCATGGCAGCTCAGAGAGACAGGAATCAGTTTAGGAAGCCCTTCTCCGGTTTGGGGCCCACCCCCTTGTAAAACCAAACAGCTGTCACAGATTGTAATTTCAGGATATTCAGAGAGGATCTTAAACTGGCTTTGGGATTTTAACAGGAAGGCACGTTTGGTAAAATCATGGGCGTTTTGAAAGGGGGGTCCTGCGGTTTATTCCCGGGGTCGCTGTCGTCCGGCGGGCTGGTTTAGACAGAGGCAGCAGCAGCAGCAGCAGCCGGCTTGTTCCCAATGTTCTGGTCTCTTGTTGGCTGAGCCGCAGGCCAATGAACGGGTGGGTCATCAGTGGGCGGAAAGGTCAGAAGGTCAAGGGGCGGGGCGAAGGGGGCGGGGTCATGGGTTAGTTGCCGTGGCAGCTAGAGTTAGACGGACAGAGACGGACAGACGAGGAAAGGAAACAAAAAGGGAACATCAAAGGGAGGGGGGGGACATAAAAAGAAAAAAGATAGAAGAGAGATTAGTGTCAGCTAGTGGCGTCGGGATGACAACAAGGCAGATCTAGTGCGGTCCGCGCAGCGTGAGGGTCGCTACAAAACACCTCCATGGGTAGCAGAGAACCATCCACAAAGGCGGCGTGTTGAGGCGAGGAACGGCCGATCAGAGCTGCTCCCATGGAGGCATCTGCAGGGGTTCCCCTCCTGCTGCCAGACCGCGGCTATACTAATACTACTCATGCTAGCTGGGCTAAGTCTAGCACAGGCAGACAGTGAAACCATGTACGAGAGAGGGAGGCAGCATGGTTTCATGTGGGTGAGAGAGTGACCTTTATGTCCAAAGAAACGTTCTCCAGGCCTTTCACTAGCTGACAAGTAGAGCTATTGTTTAGAGCAGCAGCAGCAAGATCTGGATGATTAAGAGTCGTGATTAACTGATTATTGGTTTACGGGTCCATCTCAGTACAGTAGAACATCACTGAAAGGGGACTTCAGTCTCATGTATTACATAGATCTAATACAAACAGAGTGATGTATTTCTGGTGCTCTGTTTGCGCTGATGATTGCGGCTTAATGAAAACCCAGGAATTAATTGGGTCATAATTCAGCCTTAAGGAGGAGACCGTTTTCTTAATAGCTACCCAGCAGACACTACCTGAGAGCCACAAACACTCGTTGACTCCTGTATCCAGATGTATTGGTGGAAGGTTTAGTGGAAGGAAAAAGTGTAGAGAATAAAGTCCAAACAGGAACAGGAAAGAAACGTTTAAATCAAGAGTCAGGAGGAGACGTGGAGAGGAACAGGAGCCTCTTTCCCACTGAAAATGGCGGGTTAATGCGTGTTTTTCAAACATGTGTCGGGCCGCTAACAATCGGCATTTGGCTCCCTTCCCACTGGCATTAAAAGCTGGTCTAACCCCTCACTGGTAGCTGCGTGTCTGGTGACACCATTACGATAGGTTAGCGTTGATGATGTCATCAGTGCGACAGAAATCAGGGACGTAAACAATGGAGAGCAACGTGGAAAGAATTGTTTCTCTCTATTATCCGTCTGAATCCCTCTCTTCAGAGCGTCTCCATGTTTATCGAATGGAAACAGAGTTGATTCTGCTTGTTGGATCAGAAGCGACTGGCGCTGTGTGTTGACGTCCGTACGTTGCGTTCAATGGTATCACGTATTTTAGCGCGTCGACATTGCTCTGGTGTTCCCACAGCATACAGATCAAAGCTGAGGCGATTTTAACGTGGGTCGCTTCAGCGTCAGTGAGCTGTTCCCACTGCCACTAAAAGCCCATTGTTCCTGGGTTTAAAAAGGTTTTTCGCCAGATGGGGCCACTAAAAATCTTTGGGTGGCCACCGAAACTAAAAGCCATAATTTCATGGTTTGAATGGACTATAGTGGTAAACCTGCCTGTAAAAATCATAAAGCTTCAGTTAACACCTCAGCATAATGGGATGAAATGCTAAACTGATGCTACTACAATTTACACTGGTGGCCAATGGGGTGGCCAGGGCATTGCACAGGGTGGCCGTGGCTACCGCTGGCCATCCTCTGGTGGCGCCACTGGTAAGAGATGATTATCATCTCTGAGCAACCTAAACAAGCAAAAGGAGCCCCATTGAGTTCACTTACGCTGCACATTATGTGGGCATTCTCCTCAATAGGCCTCCTGTTTTCAAAACCCTCTTTTATCGTTCTAATGCAACATCTCTTCTGCTTTCAGAGATTTATTTGGGGATTTAATTAGTCATAAGCCATAATCATTCCAACACCTGAAACTTTTCACTCTGGATGGAATAAATCCCTCAAAAGTGTCACTTAAAAAAACCCAAAAAGACTGAATTCCTGAAATAATTCAAGTCTTCAGTGACGCTCTAACGTACTGAGATGTACCCGCTTCAGCTATGAAATATTAGAGCAGCGCCTGCTGCGGTAAAGACAGTGATGAGAGGTTAAGAGATGATTTTAGAAGGACTTCAACAATTTCACAGTAAAAAAAAAAAAAAAAAAAAGACTAAACTACAAGAATTTTCAGGCTTTGGTTCGCTTTAGAGATTTGTTTCAATACTCATCTTTATTGCCTTTTAGTGTTTTTTTGTCCATCTTATACAACATGAGCACAACTGCTCGCACACACACACACACGCGCGCACACACACACATATATATATACATACAAATATATATATATATATATGTATATATAGTAGCTAGCTAATCAATTTTTTCCATTTCTATTGCATATAACAGTCTGGAGGCCTGCGAAATCGAGAAGGTCACCTCATCTTAAATACACAGAGAAAAACACTGCCTTCATCGTCACCTTTGTGATGACTAAAACAGTAGTAGCTACACACTTTTGAATACAGTTTACATGGAGACACTTCATCTATAAAAAGCATATCATAAAACAAAACAAATGTACAAACTAAAAAACAAACTACAGGTATTTCCAAGCGATCTTATTCTGTAAGCTTCATTTAAGCACTTAAATCCTTAAAATCCCTATATACAAATTTATTTTTGCAGCTAAATACATGGTAACAGCACCACTCTGGCTAGGAAATAAATGAAAGTTGTAAACAGTCCCAATGATAAAGTCCAGTGGGCGACTGATAAGACCACAAACAACAGTATTTCATACAAAAGAGCTCTTAACACAGACTTCAGTAGTTATCACACGCTGTGTTTTCTCATATTTTACTTTAACCGTTATGTAAGAATTGGGAATTACACAGGATTTAATTCATTATATATAGATAGATATATATGTGTATAAAAACAAAACAAAACAAAACAATAAAAAAAAAGAAAAACTGTGGAAATCTAGTGGAATGAAGCTGAGCATAAATAAGAGTTTCCACAGTGTTTAGGTGATCAGAAGTAGTACCGAGGAGGGGAAATGTAAAGTTTCCATAAAAGACGGCTCAGAGGAGTCACAAGGGCCGGGTCACATGAGCGGGCCCCTGGCCCCCGCGAGGCCACCCGCTTCGAGCAGCTGTCATTTAGCCTGGTACGGTTTCATCTTTTCTCTCTCTTAAGGCATGCCGTTTTAAGGGACTCATGTAAACGGAAATTGGTCCGTTGGTCTGCATGCACACACACACACTCACACACACACACAGAGTGGCTGGTGAGCTAACTAACCTCTGTCTGTGGTCACTACCCTTTGGTAAGGATGGATTCTCTTGTCGTGGCGTCGTACCTTAGTGGTCATGGCACCTGCTAACAGCCATTGATATTTCCCCCCGAAAACAAAACACAGAAGGGTTACTCGTCAGAAAGACAACAGACAGCCCCACCCGTGGCACCAACGTCAGTGACACCAGGAATTTACCAGGCGCTCCAGGCTGAGGGTGAAAATAAGTGGAAATAAAAACAAAACAAAAACATCTCGTCTCTAGGACCTAGAACCTTTTGTTGTTTTGTGGTCTTCTGCTCCCTACGGAAATCATTAATCCACACCGCTAGTCCTCAACTAAGCTTCGCTAGTAGATTCAAAATCAGCTTTTTAAGCAAAAAGACACGTTTATAGCTCTGTGATCAAAACAAGCTTTTACCGTTAGGTTAGATCGCAAACAGCAGCTCTAAAACATCTACAGGTTCACTAAAAAATGTGTTAAAAATTACAAGCAGAAGCTGAGTCATTATAAACAGGTAAGTAGTTGTCACACCACAATGCTAGTCTGCTAATACAATAGAGGGAATTAAACGTGGAAACAAACTGACTTTCTGCTCTGAGGGATAACTACGCGGGTTTATGTGGGGGGGGGGGAATGGGGGTGAAGGGGTGTGTGTGTTGGGGAGGGGGAGGGTCTCTGCAAGCCAGTCCAGGTGTGTGCTAAGAAGGGGTTGCTACCGCTTAGCCTTTGGTTGGGAATGCCATACCTGCAAAAACACAGGAAGAAGGGACTGTTAGCCCAGCAATGAGCTTCAGCAGGTTCCTGTGGGTCGATTGGATGTATTACAAGAACTGGACCCGGCAGCCAACTGGTTCCGCAGGCAAACACGACCCAAATGTTACCAAACCAAGAGTAATTAAACACAGATTCACGGATTGACATCAGCTAATTTAGCACATTTAGCTAAGAGCTACAGAGAGCCTAATCTTTTTCTTTTACTTTACACTTGAAATTGTTGATGACATCTACCAAGCTCCTACGCTGCAGCTTAAATCGCCTTAAAGTTACTCACCAGATGTGAAAAATGTCAATCTGGGATCGATTTTTCTGTGGCTGTCTGACAAAGGCTACGTTCACACTGCAGGCCTTAAAGTCGTAGGGAAGCGGCTGTTCCAAACGTTGCGTTTCCGAATTGTCCTGAGTGGTGCCCGACTTTATACGAGTGAATAAAGTGAATGTGATTGGTCGTTTATCAAGGGGGCGGGATTGTTGTGGCGGAAGGTTCGCAAGCAAGTTTGGTTGTGGCCGGTTTGTCGGAAGCATCTTGCTAACCAGTTAGCAACTTAGTGCTAGCAGGTTCCCAATGGGAAATTCCATTGGGACCAAGTAGCACTAAATTGGTGACTTAGAAACGACGCTGTCAAGGAACGCTATGGACAGAGGAAACATGCAAGAGGAGGAGAGTTTAGTGTCGGAGGTCGTGGATGAGTCTCCTCCGTCATCCATTTTTTATTTAGAGGAGGAAAGCGGGGACGAAGATGTTGTGGAAGAGGACGCCAGGGCGGCAGAAGCTTGGTTTGGTGTAGAAGGCTTCCAGCCGTACATGTTTGAGCCCTTGCCTCGCAACGCTTCCAGTTCTGTTAGCTCTACGCCTGCCGAAGACACAGACGTCCATCCCCGTGAACACTGGGACGCAACTCAATGGGAAAGGATTTCAACCGTTGCGTATATTAGCTGCGACACATGAATCAAGATGCTGACCAAAAAAATTTGATTGACAAATGACTGTTGATATATGATTGGCCGAATTTAGGTGTTCAGGCTGACGTAGAACTAACTGGCCTTCATAAAAAAAACGAAAAAAAACACAGATTTTAAATAGAAATTTTCTAAATTTTGAGACAATATCATCTGATACAGAACACATTTATATACATGTTTAAGCCAGAATGATTTGACATTTAAATATGACTTCCCTACGACTTTAATGCTCAATTACAATTTTTTTGGGGAAATCCGATTTTTTTGCATTGCCGTTCAGATTTCCAAATATATGCGACTTGTATGTGATCTTCTGTAGAGGTAGAGGATGTAATGACGGGTCCAGCCACCGTGCTTTATGTCTATGGAAGTAAACATGGATGGTAGTGCTGGGGTGCATCTAGCGATCTTTCCAAACCTTAAAAACACAATCTTCTTAGCCTCACAGGCTCCAAACGAAGGTAATGAGAGATAAGGATGATTCACAAAGCTTCCTTTATGGCATGAAGGGGAGGACTGTTGTTTTGAGAAGATCCATCTGGCCAGTGAAAGATATATTAACCTCACAGGGAACGGCTTTGATGAACTCAAGTTATTTTTCCTCCAAATGTTCAAATGAGAGAAAGTTCTTTATGCAGTGGGTGGGTTGGTTCCCTTGGGCGGAGTGTGTGTGTTGCAATTTTGTAAGGTAAAAAATGTATGAACTGAGGTTGCCTCAGTCAGAGCTCCATCTGACGAGGTTAAATTGAACATTCTCTTGCAATAGTCTCTGCTTCCTCCTCACCTTAACAATGGTTAAGCATAAATGCAACTCTCCGCATCATCATCCGCCATGTTTGTTGTTTTTCTTGCCACTTCTGCGTAGCAGGACGCAGAATAGAGACCTTTGTCAGGTATTAAAGGCGTCCAGGTCGGATGAATGCGACCTGGCCGTTGAGACACAGGTCACATTTGAAAAGATCAGATTTGTATCGGATTCAGGACCACGGAGCCAAGTGGCCTGGGTCGCATTGGGAAAAAATCGGATCCGAGTTGTTCAGACTGTCATGAAAAGATCGTGTCCAGGTCGCACATGGGCAAAGAAATCGGTTTTGGGTAACTTCAGGCTGCAGTGTGAACGTAGCTATAGAGAAACTGAATTTTCCAACTGGGGTTGAGTTTAAAAAAACAAAAACAAGTTGATACTATAAAACTCTCCTCTGTAAATTCAGAGGTTCAGATCCGTCTCTAAATGGGTCATGTGACCCAGAGCGCCACTGCAGTTACCAGATCTGCTGGGGCCCTGTTTTATGCCAGTGATGCTATATGATTGGCTGAACATCGCTACAGGACGTAAAAGATTGTGACGTAAAAGAGTAGTGATCATCTGTCTGAACGGTCAGTTAACTGAGTTCACTATAAATTCCACTATATAATCCCCGCTGTATATACGTAGTGACGGAGGGATTTAGGGGTTAAGGTGGACGTCAGGAAACAGCCAGAACTACCAGAACATAAAGGGAGACTGCTTCGTTTAAAGGAAAAGTCCGCTCATATTCAGAATTCAATATTCTCAAAGTTCTTTAAATATGAAATTATTACATCTTGTTCAATAAATGATCAGAGTTTTTAATTCACAGTAATTTTCATGTGAATGTGCTTTACTGGAGGCATCCATGTTTGTCAAAGAACACTACTGCCACCTACTGGTTAGTGACGTCACGGTGCGGTATCGGCTGTTGATCAAGTCCCAGTGCTGTATCTGGTGTTTGTCACAACGCGCTATTATCCAAGTCATCTTGAAAACATTCTTCTTCCAAATGTTGGCTACATATTACGGGTTTTTTCTCTGGCCAGAAGTTCGATGGCAAATCCTCCCTCTTCAAGTTGGCGATCCAACGACCAACCCGTCCCTGACCGATCAGGAATCAGAAAGGTGGAATAACTCTTTTTTTCACTTTTACCCGATGTATTCCAGCATCCAGCTGCCATGCACGTGGGCATTGTCAGTTTCACTATAGCTCTGGTGAATTTCAATGGTGAAGTCCTCTGGAAATCTTCAATAATTGTTGTTGATTGCAGATGTGTCTAGTAGTTCCCATTGATTTAGCTTGGAAAGCGGGGAGAATGGCGCTAGGCTTACCGCACCGTGACTTCACTGCTGGAAGATGGCAGGAGGGAGGGGTTACTATATTTGGGCAAAAATGGCCGCTCCCAGACTCTGTGATTGCGACAAAAGCATATATTTTTTACCGTTTAACGCTAAATTCATTAAATCACAGCGAACGGATTCGTTTAAGGTAAAAATATTGATACATTGATTATTCTTTGCTGACCGGACTTTTCCTTTAACTACAGTGGAATACCGCCTGCGCCCTTCAGGGGGCGCTAAACTTTAAAAAGTCTAGTGCCCCCTGGTGCCTAAAAGTTACACAGTGTTGCTTTAGGTGGAAATACAACAAATTAAGTTTGATTTTAGTTACATTTATTTTTAATGACCTGAATAGAGATTCTAGGAAATTTCTTTTTCTATTTATTTAACAGCTACTGATTAAAATATATGATATATATATGTGTATATATTTGAAAATGATGTGATTGAGCGGTGATACCACTGTACGCCCTGACAGACAATCTACTGCCAAACAGGATCAGTAAAACAGCTCTTTCACATCTATCGCTGGAAGAAAACCACAAAATGTCGTCTCTCGGTCCAAATGAAAAGTTTCTGAAGAGCTTGGATCGTCTGCTACCATTGGAGTCCAGCGTCCAGTTCTCATAATACATCCATTGACTATGTATGAGAGTGACAGACTGTTGCTTGGTATATACCTAATACTCCGGTTGAGTCGATCGGGTATTCCAATATGGAGGGCGTGAGTGTGTAGGGATACTCGTAAGGCGTGTAGATGATTCCAGACTCGGGTCCTTGCTGCACCAGCGCCGGGTGCGGATTGCCTCCGGGCATGAGGGCGGAGCTCTGGATCTGACGGATCAAAGGCATGATGGTGGGCGTGGTCACAGGGGCGGGGTTCCGCAGGGTGGGGGGCAGGACGGGCGTGGGGCCCGTGATGATCCGAGGCGCCTGAGGGGTCGCTAGAGGGAAGGCGGCATTGGCTGCACGGCGAAGCCAGCGTACAATACCGCGAGTGTGTCGCACGCCCACGCCGGAGCACGCACAACAGGCAGGGAAGGAGAGAAACACAAACAGTCCATTTAAGACGGCGAACAGAGGCATTGTTCACATGTACAGTGGAGTCCTGTGCTGACAGCCCTCCTGTCACCCACTCGCCCTCCTCCACATCTTAACTATGAGGTCATGCTTACGTGTCTTCACGTTGGCGTCTCTGTAGGTCCCATTGAGAATGGCCAGCTCCATCAGCTGCATCTTCTTCAGGTTGTCTTCCCCCTCAGCCTGCAGAGACACACATCACTCAGATAAACCACCACTCACTGGCAAAACTGTTGGAAAAGTCTGGACGCTTTCTAGCAGCAGTTTTCCAGTCCTAAAAGATCACTGGAAAATATTTATCTTGCTTTGGGGGAACCCAGAGCTGCCTGACAGTAAATCACAGAGTAAAGACCATAGAAGCAGGAGGCTTCGCTAATTAAGCAGCTAAGATGAACTCATTAGACAACGTCAGTTACCTACAACCTAAAATGTTCCATTTTTATACAGACATATCTATATTTTAGGGATGATTTATGTTAATTCTGATTAGGACTGGGTTAAAAAAATCGATTCATCTTTACATTTTTGCTAAATCAATGTCTAGGGAATGAGATCGATTAGTTTTATAGTGACGCGTGTGACGCTCACACTTCTCGTTCGACATGAGGATGAGGTGGAGTTCTGAGTGAATGTTTCTCAAGGAGGTTAAGACAGAAATGTTGTCGCTAAAGAAGCTGCCTGGTCCCAGAAAGTTCGGTGGAAGGAAAAAAAACTGAAACAATCTGCAGCGATAAATTCAGCCATGAAAGGATTAGAAAGCACAGTTCATTCAGGATGGATCCTACAGCCTGAACCAGAAACAACATGATGAGCTTTTTACCTGGATTCATCCATCCATCCATCATTCATCCATTCATCCATCCGTTTTTGAGTAATCCACAGATTCCACATCCTCTATAAAGGCTCTGCTCCGCCCCTCTAACCTACGGGCGGCGGAGCACCTGCACAGTCAGATTAACCAATGAGAACTATCCCTAATCCAGAGCTACTCCTTCCAACGTCACTGTCCACGTACATCTTCTCTGTCCTTCACCTTCAAAGCTATTTTTTGCCGAACATCACCGGTTGGAATCGTATCACACAGGAAGAAGAACGTCAAAAAGCGCCAGTTTGTCAAAGTAAAAAAGGTAACGACTGATCGGTCCATCAAATTAGAGCCTAGTGTCCACATATTCCCCAAAAAGAAAACCGTTTTAATTTAATTATTGAATTCAAATTACTGGTACTTCAACATACAAGGATGCAGATATATGATTTCAATCAAAATATTGATTTTATGCTGAAAGGCTTAAATTGTCTTCATTTCTATTCACAACTTATAGAGCAACTTCTGATCACAGGCATGAACGAAGAGAAGGAAGTAGAGAACAAACCAAGTTTGGATGATCTAGCATCTGTATTACAAAGACCCACAACCAAAAGAAAAGGTCACATGTGTGCTGGAGCTG